TTTGTGCTACCATCCACTGGTGCTTGGTCTACTTACCACAGGCCACATCCTTAAAGAAAATTGACTATATCTTTCCCAGCAGCCATCTCCCTCCCCTACTCCATGCTGATTGTCTTGATCTTGTACAGGGTTTTGTGCAGGCAACCACAGCTGCTGTGAGTCCAGAAGACCCTTTGGAAGAATTTATAAACAATATATGATCTTATTTCCACATATAACTGTTAAAGGAAAATTACCAATATTTCAGAGAACACTGTCAGCACCTTAAGCAGTGATTGAAGTTGACACCAGAAAGAGACAAATCACCATGAACTTGATAAAATGATGCATTGAGACCACCTTCATTGTAGTCCTATCTAAACCACAAAACCCTATTCACAAGTAAATGCTAAAACCAAGTTGAAGAATATTTTACAAATCATTGGTCTACATTCTTCAAAACTATCAAGGTCCTGAGATGAAAGATATGTCAATTTTCCTAATCACTTCTAATTCCTGCCAAAAACAGAGCCGTAAGCCAGGCATGGTAGCTCCTGCCTTTAATCTAAGCCCTTGGGAGGCAGAGGCAGTAAGCAATTCTGTTAATAACTGAGTAGGGGAATGGGGGGCTGGAGAGATGGCTCATTGGTTAAGAACACTGGTTGTTCTTGCAGAAGACCTGTATTCAAATCCCAGCACCCACTTGAAGCTAACAGCTGTCTGTAACTCCAGTCCCAGGGGATCCGACAGCCTCTTCTGACCTCCACAGGCATTGCACAACACGGATGCACTTACCTACATGCAGGCAATACATGCATACATATAAAAATAAAATTTATATTAAAAAAAAAAAGTAGGGGAATGTTTCAAAAGCTATCTTTTCAAAGGAAATTTAAGGATGAAATCCCTTGTGGGCAATTTTCTTCCAGGTAGTGTGAGGTAATGAATTCTTAGGGTATTAACAAGATTGGCTAAGTGGCCATTATTTTTTGAAGTAGGTATTATACTAATTGATGACCAAAATGTCCCATGGTTTAAGTGTATAAACCGAAAAAAGCTTTTACATTAGGTATAACCTATTGGGCATCTAGCCTGCAAGCCACCTTCATAAAGCCCTTTAGCCCTTGTGTACAAAGTTCATCCCAGACACAGGTCTCTGTTCAGCAAACCCCCATCTTCGTCAACAATCCTCACCCAGTTCTAGTTCCATGCAAGATACAGTATTCATAATCCAAGATTCATTAAGACTACCCACACATTTACCTTTCTTCAGGCTGTCTTAGCTGTCTTTCTTCAGGCTGGCTCAGAGGGTAAACAACTGATGTTTGCCTGCCTGCTGCATTTGAATCCTGGAACCCACACAGGAGGAAGAACTTACTCTACTGGGTTGTCCTCTGACTTCTATATGCTTACTGTGGTACACATGCTACCCCTTTAAAAATCATATATATAAAAGTCCTAAAAACGAACTACAGCCCAGCACTCGGGAAGCAGAGGCAGGTGGATCTCTGTGAGTTCAAGGCCAGCCTGGTCTACATAGTGAGTTCTAGGACAGCTGGGGCTACAGGGAGACCGTGTCTCAAAAAGACCAAAAAAAAAAAAGTTCACGAGTTACTAAATGAAGTTAGAATTATAACTGATTTAAGTAGTGTATCAGATACTTTTCTATCCAAATGAATGCCTCCTCCAATACAAGTTGATACTCACTTGTACATGAATTCTGGCGTTTTCATCACATCTTTGTGCTTAGTTCTTACTTCTATGACCTTACTGTATTCTACCAGCCTAGATAAAATACCACCAAATATCTAAATCATGCAAAAAACATTTAAAACTTCTAATAGTTAGGTCTTAATGCTATGCTGCAATTTTGGTTTGTTCAATTGGAGAGTTCACTTTCAAAGTTTTTAAGGCTAAAAATTACTGCATTCAAGTGCAAATAAGGTTTTGAGTTTTAGAGCTATAAAATTAGGCTATTCTCAAATGCTTTACCTTATATATACAGAAGACATATATAAGTAAAAGTGACACCTTAATAATCTCTTAGGGCTGGAGAGATAGATGGCTCAGCAGTTAAGAGCACTAGCTGCTCTTACAGAGGACCTGGGTTCAGTTCCCAACACGTTCATGGAAACTAATGCCTAGAACTCCAGTTCTAGGGGATCTGATGCCCTCTTCTGACCTCCATGGACATGACACACTACACTTACACACATGCAGGCAATATACTCATACACATAAAAATATTTAAAATATTTTTTAAATCCCAAATTATACCTAAGGGAGTAACGGGTTGTGAAAAAAAAATCATTGTAGCCATTTTACTATCAATATCTTGTTTTTAAACAGTTTATTTAAATAAGATATTTGAAGCAGTTTAGAAAAACAAAATTTGTATTTTATTTCCTTGTAAAAATCTTTACACATGCAGACAAACCAGTGTTAAGAAAGTATTCACCATCATTTAAACAAATAACCACTTAAATAGAACAGTGTCTGCAATTTTTATCTGTATAAAAATAAGGTACATTTTTACAGAATTCACGCTCCAGTTCTTATAGCAATAAACAGTACACAACTATAGTAAAGTACAATTGAACCTGACCATGGTTTTCAATTTGATACTGCTAGGGCATTTTAATGTGCAAAAAAACTTCATAGTTCTTTTCAAAACAAAATGTCCTCAGTGTTTCTAGAGACCTAGGGAATTTTAAGAAATCAAATCCTAATCAGTTTGTTTTTAATCTTTTGATTGAGTCCATACATCACACTGTAGGTAAGTAAAACCAGGAACTGATGCAGGCTCAGAGGAAGACAGTCAGCGCCTGTGCCTGCTGTGTCCTGAGCGACTGCCACCATGGTGTTTTCCTTTATGGGACCTCTCAAATGAGCGAGATCGTTCACGCCTGTCTCTATGATGTCCCCTTTCGTGCCTGTGTTTCTTGGCAGCATCTGAGTGATCCCTAGACTTGCTCTGAGATCGAGACCGAGATTTTTTCCTTTTATGACTATGTCTATTGGAAGCTTTCAAATCTTCTCTGGTATGTTTAGCCTTAAGATGAGGAGAACCATGATTATGATGCCTTCGAGGGCTTTCACTGTGACTGCGGGACCTGCTTCTTGATCTTGAGCTGTATGTTCCAGATCGACTCCGCCTATTATTGTAACTTAAGACAAAAATTTGAAGTTCAGATTCAGTTTCTACAGACAAATTGCTATTCATTAACAGGTTAAAAACAACTGGCAATAACAAGGCAGAACTGATGTTCCCCAGTCTTCCCACCCTGACCTCTATTCAAATGATACCTATGTGACATTAGAAAATATGTTTCAAAAAGTGGGAGTAACTGAATAGTTACAAAGTGTCCTAGAGACGTGTTTTTTCAAACTAAGTTATCTCCCACATGCAAGGAACTTGCAATCTAATTACAAAGCTGACTAGGGAAAATTCTTATACAAACAAAACAGGAATGAAATATTTCTCACTGAAACTGAATGGAAACAATGTTTTCACCATTCAGTAGGATATTATACATACATATACCTTTACAGCACTTTCTGGACACTAAGACACAAGAGAAAAAAATAGAACAAAGAGAACACCATCAAGGCATACCACAAGGGTTAGTGAGATGGCACAGCAGGTTAAGGTGCTGGCCGTCAAGACTGATGACCTGAGTTTGATCCCTAGGACCCATATGGTAGGAGAATGAACTCAAAAGTTGTCTTCTCTGCACACACCCACATCTCCACTAAACACCACCCTCCACTACAAAGCAGTATCACCCATTCCCAGAGTCATGCCCCCGAGCTAGTTTTGGGGGCTTTACTTTACACTTAAAAAAAGCATGCTTATACTCCAACACTCAAGAGCTACTCAGTAAAAGCTGTTTGAAGAAAAAGTCTAAGTCTATCCTAACTTTGAAAACAATCTTGTAAGGCCCCAAGACTGCATACCACAAGGCATCAGCTTTACTTACTGTCTTCTTGGAGTATGTGATCTAGAGCGTGATCGTGTTCTTGACCTTGATCGACTTGCACTTCTGCTATTTCTACTTCTCTTGCTGTCTTTTCTTACACTTAAAAAAATTGTATATAGCGCTTTAGTTACCTACTGTTTTAGAAAGGGAATGAACATCTTCAAACCACTGAGGTACACTCACCCATTATAGGGGCTTTTGGAAGCCTGTTGTCTATCCTCTGGTTCTTTTTTGACTGTCTTCACATTAATGGAGATAGGCGACTTCTCTTCAGCTTTTACTTCTCTTGGTGATGCTTTTAATAGATATAATGACATTAAGCACCAGAAATAACAGAGGACCAATGTTGTTTCCAACATAGCACCCCCAAAGTACTATGCTTCTAAGTATCCCCTTTAGTAGATTTGTCACAAAGCAGTAACAACTTCTAGGTGTAGTTTCTAAGCAGCTAGCTATATGTGGAAACTTTCTAATGACACATTTCCAGTGAACCACATTTTACTTCAATTCTCAATTTATCTTACATGGTTTAGAGGCTGGAGAAAATCCACCAAGTGTTGAAAGGGCTGGAGTTCCATCAGGATTCAATCCCTTTGCTTTTAACTTGGCTTCTTGTAAGGCTACTTTTCTTTTCTCTACTTCTTTTTCCAGCAATTCATAGTTGGGCTGTTGGATGGATAAAAGCAAAGTTAATACCTTTCACAACTGCCTACATTCTTGGAGATGATCACCACCCAAGTAAACAGGAATTACCTTTTTCCTGGTATAAAGCCTAAGTGTCTCTATACAAATTTCCTGAATCTCCTCTTCTGTAGTACCAAAAAGAAGAAACCAATGGGGCCGAGTTGGTAATGGAATCTAAATCATGAAGAAAAAAGATCAAACTTTTGCTTCTCCCAGAAATGCTTGGAATTTACCCTATAAAAAAACAACAAGCTACAAACACTTACCTGAAGTGCTCTAGCTGCAAGGTAGATACAAGCACATGCTATAGTCTCTGGTTGAAAGCGAACAAAAACATTGGTTCGAAGACTGTCATTCATGTAATTCCTGAAAAATATTTCAACTTTAAACTTAGTCTATAAGCAAACCAGTTCTCTTCTGAAGCCTACATAAAATTGGAGACTCAATCTACTTTATTCTTTTTTCTTCTCTGATAGTCACATCTTCAGACTGTACCATGTTACAAATCTTAATTATCCCCACCGCCCAAAAAAAACCCCAACAAGAATACTAGGACTAATTTCAGTTGTCTTAGGTGTGACCAAAGCACTTTTAAGTTCCATATTATGCATACAGATCTTACTCCTCAACAGTCTCCTCTCTTAATGAATTCCTATAAAAAGCAATGCTTGGGAAGTCAATTCTGACATGATCAGTTTCAGAATTCACCACTCCAACAATACTTCAAGCCAATTGTTGACCATCTCTCCTTTATCCACAATGAAAAGCAGTTCTTCCAAAAATTCAAAATACTGTGTGTGAGAGGGGTAAAAAAGGCATTTTTAGGAAGAACCCACCAAGTTACACTTAACATAAAACTTCAAAAAAAATTCTAAGTAGAAATGAACAAATATACATCATAATTGCCTCATTTACATACCTTTTTGTAACTAAGTATAAATAAAAGCACTTACCTACTTTATAAACTTCTGCAGTTTCTAGTGAACCCACCCCACAAAACTCCTTAACTAAAAGAAACTTTATAATAAAAGCCTGAGGTGAAAATTAAATGGATTTCTTTAAAATCCTTTACTCATTAAAACTACTGAATCTGCTGTATAGAACATATTAAAAGTCATGCATTTCAATAAAGCAATGAGACTTTTCTAAAGTTACCAGCATTTACTGAATTCAAAAGCATGGCAATCATAAAAGGCATCTTTCTGGAAAAGTCCAGAATTATTCAATTCTTGTATATTAACAGTCTTATGAATCATAGTTAAGGCTGAACCACAATTTCCTTACTTAATCTTGCTGCACACCTCAAAAGTTCAAAGCATTTAAATAACATTAACTTCTTTCTAAAATGAAATGCTTCTTGTATCATTGCCTGAAATAGCTTACCAGCTAGATAAACCTAAAATGGAAACTGGGTGCCCTTTTACAGCCCCCTCTTGTAGAACTGAAGATACACACTGTATGTAGAAATTTAAACTGAATTCCTAATTTAAAAAAAAAAATCATTTAATTCATAATGGCTGGACAACAATCTATCAAAAATGAATTATTCATTTTGATAGTTACAGGTACACATTAAATACATAGGCATGATGCATAGTTACTTCTAGAAGCAAATATACAAATCCTTTTGACACCCCGACAGAACTAGAAGATGCTGCCAGATGGATATGGACCACTTCAGTGAATCTCGGATGAGAGCTTGCACTGGATTGGCTGGAGAGCAGGCTAGCCAATCAGGCCATCCTGAGGTCATGGGCTGAAGTGCAGAGGGCAGAGTTCTATGACTTACCATCATGGACTACCCTTTAATTAAAGAGTAGAAAAAAGAACAAAGTTAAATTGAGTACTCCATTAAACGTAATTAGTCAAGCCAAGAAAACAGGAAGCAGAAATAAGCATTATTTACCTTTTGGTTAAAAAATAAAAAAACAAAAGCCCCCAAACAAACTTATTATTATTTTTTTTATTTTGGAAAGAGAAAATGAAACTTACTTTATTTCTGCTTCTGTTTTCCTGACTAAAAAAGAAATGTAAAATAGCAACTTACCAGGCAGTTTGAACCAGGGTTTGGTTACGTTCACATTCTAAGACTTGTAAATACATTACAATGATCTGAGGACAAGGGAAAAAAAAAACTTTAGCATGCTTGTGGCTCTTTTACAGCAGAGTTCAATGAATAAAGCAAATCACAGGTAATACAGACCAACCTAAAATATACTTG